AATGGAAGGAGGGAAGAGAAGCAGGAGAGCAAAGAAGGAAGGACAAAGAAAACGAAAGAAAGGAGACCTGGCCGGTGGCACCAGAGGATCTGGCTTCCGTCCCAGGGCCTCTCCTTTTCTGCCACCTCAGGGACCAGTGACCTGGCGCATGGGTGACCTGGCACCTGCCGGGATGAAGCTACAAGGACCCTGCGGCTGGCGGGCACTGACCCTCGCTCTCCCCAAAGGCGGAGCAGCTCTGAGTACAAATGTGGTCCCAGACCCGCACCCCGCAGGAGTCAGGCCCAGTCTCCCTGGGGCCTAGCGCTGAGTCCCCAGTGCACAGCACCCAGAGCGCAGCGCACATCTCCGAGTTCCCGCAGACGGCCCACATCTGGCCTCGCTGCGGTCGCATGCGGAGGGGCCTCACCGAACGGAGGCCCCAGTGGCCAAGCTTCCAGACCCGGGGCACGGACTTGGGCGCTGATCAGTGCAGCTGGACTGTGTTCCAAGGTCCCTGCGTGAGCCGACCGCACCAGGGGAGGGATGGGCATGAAGCGGGGGCGGCCTTTGTCTCTGCCTGTCCAGCAGAGTCGCCCTGGGTCTTCTCTGGGTCAGGCTAGTTATTACCTGCCTATAATCTTCTAAAATTCACACTTTTAAAGAAAACCACACGTTTAACAAAAATAACCACAAAACAAAAATAAAGTAACACATTCCAAAGGAGCAAGTTTGTAAAATACCCGAAAAGGGATAATTTGAAGGAAAGAGGGAGGGATGTGTCTTAAGGCACTGTCTCAAAACACGATTCGAGCCCCCAGCTCACAGCGATTTGAAACGATCCAAAACGAAAAGTCCACACTTGACATCGAAATTTTCATGAAAGAAGGTCCCACAGAGACCGGCTTCTCCAGCAAGACAGTAACTCGGCGGTCCCTGGGAGATGTGACCTGCGAGCGTGAGCACCCCGAGATTTTCCACATTGAAGGCAGGCCAGACTTACGCATCAGGCACGAGCAGAGCTCCGGCCAAAGCCGGACGGTGCATTCCCGTCGCTTCCCACCTGAGATCCAGCAGATGCGGGGGTCCTCACCGCCTGCCGGCCCCAGGCTGGGGGCCATGAGAACTGAAGACTTCCCGGAGGAAAGAGGGGAGAGGAGGAGGACCTGTGTGCGGGCATCGAAGCTGCGTTGCGCGTGCTCGTGAAGGAGGTTGGCGGGGGGCGCGGAGCTGCAGAGGACCCGTCGGGATTCGGTTTCCCGCTCTGTAGACCCGGAGGAGGTGTGGGACTCCCCTCAGGCAGCTGCTGGGCGATCGCCTCGGAGGTGAGCCAGACAGGTCCAGAAGCAACCTACGCTCCATTCCCGCCAGACGCCGTTTTTGCCTCGTAAGATCCCAACGCGCGACCAGGAGGAGAGAAGCCAGGACACCGGCCGAGGTCGCGTGGTGGTCCGAGGGGAGCTGGTCCCAGGCCCCTCCCGGCGGTGCAGAAACACCGCCAAGGGCCGCCAACCTCGGCCAGGCCTGCGCACTCGAGTCTCAGCTTCCCTCGAGTCTCAGCTTCCCCCTAGCACGTAGGATCCCTAAGGCGAACGACTTCAGAATCCCACCGGGAGGCTCCGGGGGAGGAGGAGGCTTGGCTGGCGGAGGGGGAAAGTCTGGAACCTGCGCACCGGGCAGAGGGGGCTGGTTAGGGAGGGAGGTAACCCCCTTCCCCCGCGTCTCCCCTGCAGCTCGGCTGTGGGGTCCGGAAGGGCAGAGCAATGGGGAAAAGGGGCCCCAGCCGGCGGCGGGGCGGCGCCGGGACCCCCCTGCCACCCGAAGCCCCTCGCCCCCCGCCTCCAGGAGAGGGTGGCTGGCCTCGGGCGCTGAGGTCACCTTTTCCACTGCGCCCGCCACGAGCGGACGGTTTCCGGGATTTTCGCGGCGGCGGCGGCTGGAGGCCCCAGCCGGGTCCCAGGCGTTGGCCGGGCTGCTGCACCCCTGGGGTGGGGGCTGAGGGGCTCGTTCGGGGAGGAGGGACCCGCTATGAACCCTTTGCCGGCCAACAACGCTGCAGTTCCGGAGCAGAGGAGGCCCTGCCGCTGTGTGCGCACATTTTTTCGCCTAAAAGGGGTTATCTGCGGGTCTGCTTTGGGATCGCACCGCGCGGGTAGATCTCGTCTGGCGGTGGGGTGGAGGGGGGTGTCAGGGGCCTTCCCGCCCCTGGGAGAGTCTGAGGGGGTGACCGGGCCAGGCCGGGCTCCCTCAGTACTTTGCGCCAGCCCCAGGCCTCTGATTGCTTCCCGAAGGGCAACCTCCAAAGAGCCCCGGGGCCTCATTACCCGCGCCACCGGAGACCTCACTGGGCCATTGAAAAAAAGTGCCTTGGCGGGGGTCCAAAGAGCTGGGGGAGGCACTCTGGGCCTTGGCACCTGTGAAATGAGGTGCGGGCTGGGCTGCCCTGCTCTTCCGATTCCCCTAAGTCTAGAGATGAGGTCTCACCCTGAAAATGACCTCCTTTCCCCAAGCCTGACCTAGGAGTCCAACTTGGGGTCAAATGGGTTTGGTGACGGTTGCTCACTACCCAATGTGACCCTGAAGGGGTCTTCATCTAAAGGACCTGAGACACCCCTCCCCCCGCAGAAGAGCAAATGCACGGAGAAGAGATGGTTTGAAGCTGGGCGGAGTCCATCAGGGGCCCAGATAGGAGTGAAGGGATAGAATGGGGATGGCTGGGCCTAACCCTCCAACAAAAGCACCCCCAAGTTATGCCCTTGGAAAGCCCCCAAAGTGGGGAGAAGCAGGAGGAGGTGTAGCGAGAGAAGGGGAAGAAGGGGTGGGGGGAGATGGCAGCGGTTAGTGGGCCCTACAGAGGTGGCAGGAGCGGAGAGGGGAAGAGTGTGAGGCAGATCTATGCCAGGAGCAACAGCAAAGAGGCAGAGGCCCTAGAGGCCAGTGCGGTCCAGGCTGGGCTGCCCAGCGCCGCGGGAGACACTGGCTTTCCTCCCCGGGACTGGTGGCAGTGCGTGCCCCCCCCCCACCCCGTCATGCAGCCTCTCACGGGGAGGGAGGCCTGCTCGTGTGGGTCATCCTCCGTGGGTCCCACACTGTCCCCTTCCAAACAGCCGCCGTGTGACTCACAGGACCACCCACACATGGAGCACCTCTCAGACCTGATGATGGCTGTTATGTTCAGGAAGGGGCAGTGCCAGCAAAAGGCACTCAGCCACTGTGGCGAGGGGCAGCTGGGACCTCAGAGCCTCTGGTAAGACATTCTCTTTGTCCCTGTGGACAAAGAGTCTTGGCCATCTACTTAACGAAAGGTCCAGGGCTTGGGACTGGCCTCAGGATCTCATTGCCAGCAGCTGGAGCTGGAGAAATTGCATCAGCTTGCAGAGAGAAGGGCCATGGCTATGGTAGGTCCTACTCTGGTATTTCCCAGAAGCAAACACAGAGGATGGGCAAAGCTCACATAGTGGGGAAGTGGTCCAGGACCTCAGCAGAGGGATGGAAGGGGAGGGCTGGCACTCTCCACAGCCTCCACAGATACCCATCCACGCCACTGGAAACCCATCCGCCTTGCCCAGACAAACTGTGTACTCCTCCCCAGCAGACCTGTGGGGCACATGGGTGCAGGACCCCTTGTTCAGTCATCAGGGCCTCCCTGGAGCCCCACAGCGGCAGCTCCTCAGGACAGGTCAGGAGGCTGAGGCCCAGAAGGGTCAGTGACTTGCCAGGAGGGGCAGAGCCCAAGAGAGAGAGAGACTCAGCAGAGAGCTGGGGAGATTGTTCACCCCACAGCTTGGGTTTCTATTTCTGCAGTGACTGAGGGGAGCCAGGGAACGCGGGACCTCCCTCAGTCATGTGTGGGCACTCTAAAGCTCAGAGACCAGTAGGGTGATGCCAGAGTTTGTCCTCAGGCTCCCAGGACAGCCTGTGGCCCTTCACCCAGCTCAGCACTGTGCTCTTACTCTAAAGCTGGGAAACGGTGGAGCTGCAGCGTTTCCTTCCCAGGTGTCCGTCTCTTCCTCTAAGTAAGGGGACAGGACCCATTCCACCAGGAGGGGGATCGCCAAGGAAGATGTGTCCCTGCATCACTTGGTCATATAAGCATATCCGGGCTGGACAACCTCTCACCGCAGTTCGAGACAGATAAGGCCGAGTCTGGTAAACTGAGGCGGGAGTGCACAGGTGCCGCCGCTGCTCTGCGAGTTGCACACCTGCCTGCGGCTGCACCCCACCATGGCGGGTGGCTCTGAGCGCGGGCCAGGAGGCTGCGCACGGCTACTTCTTCCCCAGCCATGCTGCGCGGACTTTGTCTCTCCTTTCCCGACCTCTCCAGGGCTCCTTAACCCCTGGCCAGGCCGCTGCCTTCCTAGCGGTCCGGTCCCCGGCCTTTCTTTACTACCCATGCCCGGGCCTGCCTGCCTCTGTGCCCTCCGGCACGTCGCGGCCCGCTGGTTCCCGCGCTTGTGTCGGCCTCTCTGTGCGCACGTCTCGGCGTCCGTGGCACCCTCTCATCGCTGTCTCGCGTCTTGTGTGGCCTCGCTGTTTCGCGCTGGCCCCTCTCTCACCTCTCTCTCTCGAACCCTTCGCTCCCATCTCTGGGGGTCTGGTCTCCGAGCTCTCCCGCTCTCTCCTTCCTGGGCGTGCGCTCCGCTGGGTCCCCTCGGTCTCGTCGGCCCGCCCCTCTCGCGGCCCCCTCCCTCCCGCCTCCTTCCCCTCTCAGGCCTCCCTCGGGCTCGGCCTGGGGGGTGGGGGCGGCGGCGCGGGGCGGGGCGGCCGGGCGGGGCGGGGCGGGGCGGTGACGCGGGGTCCGCCGGGCTTGAGGCTCGGCGGCGCGGGGCGGGGGCGCAGTCCCGGGTCCGACCCGCCGAGCCCCGCGCGCCCCGCCCGCGCCCTGCGCCTCCGCCCGGTCGGCCGGCGGGGGAGGGGGCATGAGCCGGTACCCGCGCGCCGCCCGGAGCTGCGGGCCGGCCTAGAGCCCCGCGCGGGCCCCGTGCCCGAGCCGCCACCGCCACCGAGCCGCGGGCGCCGCGATGCAGAGGCCTGGGGAGCCCGGCGTCGCGCGCTTCGGACTGCCCGAGGGTTGCGCCGACCACCCGCCGCATCGCTACCGCAGCTTCATGATCGAGGAGATCCTCACCGAGCCGCCGGGGCCCAAGGGCGCCGCGCCCGCCGCCGCCGCCGCCGCCGCCGCGGGCGAGCTGCTCAAGTTCGGCGTGCAGGCGCTGCTGGCGGCGCGGCCCTTCCACAGCCACCTGGGTACGTGCGGGGCCGGGTGTTGGGGGGAGCGAGTCGCGCTGCCTCGAGGACGCAGCTCTGGGCGCAGAGGCTCCCAGGGCACGATCCGGCCAGGGAAACGAGGAGCAGGCGCCCGGCCGCGCAGTAAGGAGGCCTGGTGCCCGCGCGCCGAGCCGGCTCGGAGGGAGTCCGTTCTGTCCTTCACCGCCGACCTGTGGCCTCCAGTCGGGCCCCGAGCCCGCATCCCTAGCGCGGGAGCAGACTGCTAACGTCACACTGTGGGTCTAAGAGACCTCAGGCCTCGGACTCCCAGGCCTAAGCCGCAGACGGCTGGTCGTGAGTGGCCGCAGCTGCCCACGGCGGGTAAGCCGGACCTTCGGCGCAGAAGCCCGTGGCTCCAAGGGCTGTTCTGGTAGCTGACGCTAGTCCCGGGGTCTATGTGGGGGAACCCACGGCCTCTGCCGCAGCGCTGACTCCTGTGGGCCTTGCCTCCGGACGAGAGGCCTGGCTGTGCGCTGCTGCCCGCCTGGCCCTTTCCGTCCAGGTCGGCTGGGCCTCCTTGGATCTTGAGCTGTCTGCTCTGGCTTTTTCTGCTGCCACCGGTTCTCTTCCGTACTTGGCTGATCCTGCCTTTTCCTAACTGTTCTCTTCCTCGGCACCCCTTCTTCTTCTGGCCTTTTCCGGTCTCTCTCCGCCTGTCGGTGGACTTCTCTCGATGGGGTCTGTCTGCCCTCCCTCTCCCACCTTCCCCCAAGGATCGCTCGTCCCCTCCTCACATTTGCCCGCACTTTGCCCGGCCCTGGACGACTCCAGGGAGGCGCGCACCCGCCGCAGTAAGATGCCTGCCCGGGAAGGGAGGCCGCCTACGTCCCAGCAGGCGCACCGCCCTGCAAACAGCCTTGCTCTGCACCCAAAATCTAACATCCAGGGCCCCGCCAGCGCGGAGGGCTGCAGGGCCAGTTCGTTCGTTTTAATACAGTTCTGATGCAGCCCCTCAGCCGCTCTTTGCACTGTTGCTAACAATTCGTTTGAAGCGGGGGAAAAACAAAAAAACAAAAACATCATCATAGGACTCGTGAAAAATGGAAACGTCTTCCCGGGAGGGGTGTAAACAGAGAAAATAGGAAGGACAATTTCCTGATGCGGGGGTGCTTGGAGTTTCCGGGAAGGGCCCACCCCCACCACCCCATGCTAGCGACTGCAGCCTGCCAGCCGCGGGGCTGTGGCGCCCGCACCGAGGAGCAGATGCGCTCACGCAGTTAACATTCTGGTTTCCGACGCAGCCATGCCGACTTGGCTGGGGCAAAGGCTCACCTTCCTGACTCGCTGCCATTTCTTCTTGCTTTCCCTTTTCTGTGAAAGACACACTGTGCTTCTTGGAGCCTCGACCTTGTTCACTGAGAATCCGGGAGGCGGCTGGGGCCTGGGGGACACCAGGCAGAGGCCCGGGTGGGGGAGGTCCCCCTCTTAGACTGCGGCGACTGAAGCTGGCTTTGAAGAGGGTCACCCTAGGCAAGCAGCGCAAATCTCGTGCTTTGTGGCCCGGCAGGAAGGTTTCACGCTGGTTGGCACTGGCCAGCTGCAGCGAGCACTCCCGCAGCGCAGCGCACAATGCGGGGGATCTCCAGGAGGAGGAGCACGGCCCAAGTTCACCAGCTCCGCACTCTCTCTCCCTGCAGCCGTGTTGAAGGCGGAGCAGGCGGCTGTGTTTAAGTTCCCGCTGGCGCCGCTGGGCTGCTCTGGGCTAGGCTCCGCGTTACTGGCCGCAGGGCCTGGACTGTCCGGCGCCCCTGGCGCGCCGCACCTGCCTCTTGAGCTGCAGCTCCGCGGAAAGTTGGAGACGCCGGGCAGCGGGGAGCCGGGCACCAAGGCCAAGAAGGGGCGTCGGAGCCGCACGGTGTTCACTGAGCTGCAGCTGATGGGCCTAGAGAAACGCTTTGAGAAACAGAAGTACCTCTCCACCCCGGACAGGTAGCGGTGGGGCCAGGCCGAGCCCAACGGGTAGTGGGAGGGGTCTGCTTGCTCTGCTGAAGGTGCACCCTGTTCTTTCCAGAATAGATCTCGCTGAATCCCTGGGCCTGAGCCAGTTGCAGGTGAAGACGTGGTACCAAAATCGGAGGATGAAATGGAAGAAAATAGTGAGTGTGCTTGTGATTTTTCGCGCTCCCCCCCCACCCCGTCGCTACCAGGCCCCTGTGCCCTCCCGGACCTCCCATCCCCGCCCCCTCCGCGGAGACTTCTACCCAACTCTTCTGGTTCCCTCCATGCCTGGTGCTCGCAGGGACTCTCTCTGCTCTCTCCCTGCCTCTGGGTGCCCTAGTACAGCCCACATTCCTTTGTGCTCCGCTGCACCCTCAGGCCTTCCGGCTGTCTTGAACTCCTAAGCTAGAACTTTCGGTTGCTTTTCCCCAGCAGCGCTCAAATGGCCGCCATTTCCCCGGGCTAGGCGCGGCCTCAGAAGGCCTTGTTGTGCCGGGCAGGCCCTGCCTGGGCACGGGGCTCGCTGTCCCGCTCCTCGGTCTCAGCTCACGGCCGCGGGGCCGTCCTATACGCAGGTGCTGCAGGGTGGCGGCCTGGAGTCTCCCACCAAGCCCAAGGGGCGGCCCAAGAAGAACTCCATTCCCACGAGCGAGCAGCTCACGGAGCAGGAGCGCGCCAAGGAGGCAGAGAAGCCGGCAGAGGCGCCAGGCGAAACCATCGACAGGAGCCGCGAGGACTGAGCGCGCAAAGCGTCGACCGAGGCTCCTTCCGCCCGCTGGAAGCCGCGAGCCGGCCCTTCTGCGGCCACGCCGTTTACTTTATAAACGTTTTATTATTACCTTGAATGCGGACAGTTAGGGGCCAAGCAAGAAAGGACACAGACCCTGCAGCCAAGCCCGGCCCCAGTGTGCTCCCAGCCCTGGCCTGGAGACGTGTCCCGCGCAGCGGACGAACACCTGGTCCCGGAGCTCCGCGCGCATTCACGCCCCGCTCCTCTCCCGCTCCCCCACCCGCCTCCGCCGGCCCTCTGCGTCCTGACGCCGCCGGCACACACTAGCTTCCGCCCGTCGGGGACCCCACCGCCCGGCTCAGGCCACTACCGCCCGACAGGGCGCCCAGGGAGCCCGCGGCTCTACCCTGAGTCCGGGTCCCCCACGTCGCTGGGGCTCCTACCCCTCTCTTGCGAAGACAGTGATTTTTTTTCCAATAAAATATTTTATGACACAGCGGGGCTTGATGAAGGGGTTTCTGAGTCTGCGGGGCTGGAAGAGGGGGGTCGCGTCAACGTAAGGGGACACTCGCACTGGCTTCTGAAACTTCCTCTCCCAGGGCTTCATGGGAACGAACTGTGACCTGCCCCACGGGCTCGGACTGGCAGGGCAGGCGGACCCGTTGCGGCAGGATCTCAAGAATCGCCTGCTCTCCGTGTGAGGAGTCAGGCTGAGCCCCCTCCCCTAACTTCCCAGGCCAGGGCTCCGGCGGTAGCACAGGGCTCGCCCAGAGGGGCTGGAACCCCAGGCCGCCACGGAGCTGGCTCGGGAAGTGTCCCGGGGCTGAGAGCCTCTTACGGTTGTTGATTCGCTCTTTGGGGACTTGAAGAACCGCCTGTGAGGTCCTGGAGATGGTCCTGGCCAGCTCTTCGTAAGGCAGAAGGGAAGCCCGGGGTCCGAGGTCCCCACAGAGGCGGGCCGCCAGCCCCGCCTGCCACCGCGTCTTCAGGTTTTGCGAGGTGCACGCCCAGCGGTGGCGCCTAGCCCGGAGGTCCGGCTGCCGGCAGCTGGGGCACCTGACCCAGGCAGATGACCCAGAGCCTCCCCAGTTCTCGCAGGGCGCCCTTTCCAGGGGTGCAGCTCGATGGCCTGTGCCCGCGGGTGTCCTCTCCTCACGGGAAGGCTTTTGCTGACTTCTGTCCCTCTAGGTTGGACTGGGCAGACCTGTGGTATCCTGTCCTTGCAAATCCTACGAAGACGATCAGGGCATGGGGATGGAGAGATGGCCACTTTGCTGGTTAAGGCTCAGGGAGAGACCCCATCTTGGCCCTGCAGATTCCGTGTGTGACCAGGACATAACCAGGTCCTCCAGGCGCAAATACGGGGGACAGAGGAACAGCATACCCAGATTCAGGTTTGGCATCTTCCAATGTGAAAACGATGGTTATGGCCTCCACCTGTGGTGGCCACGGCTTCCCTCCAAATTGCGGCTTCAGTGTTTCCCCGGGAAAATCAGTGATTGGATGTCTAGTCCCTGAGTACTGCGGTATTGTTGGGTCAAGGCCGGGAGGAGTGAGAGAGTGGGCTCTTTCTGAGGGCTGCAGACAATTCTCTGCACGCCCCAGCCCTGCCAGTCTCAGGGAAACAAGCTCCGGGACTTTTAGCTCCACCTTGCAAGCAGTTGATAGCCTCCTCGCTCGTCAGCGGCCCGGGAGAAATCCCGCAGCGTCCAGGCGCGGGAGGGATCAGATCTGCAGTGTTGGGCTGCGACCCTGATCCCTCCCGACCCGAGGGTTACCCTCAGGGGGCTACACGTGGCCGTGGCAGTAACCTTCCTGCCCCAGGCCCAAAGCGAGGCACGAGGCTGCGTGTCCCTCTCTCCACTTCGAATCGGAGGAGAGGGAAGGTCCCACAAGTTTTGTCCCGGGTGGGCGCTGGGTGCAGACTCCAGCCACAGCCTCTGTCAGCCGCGTGGGGCTGTCCAAGGAAGGAGGCTGCAAGAGAAGAGAAGGGCAGTTCCGACCCAGCCTCGCAGTGGGTTCTGGGGCCGCAGGCTGGACTCACTCTGAGGAAGCGACCTTAGGCAGACTGCCCTGCGGTTCTGCGCGTTTGCCCAAGGCAGCCCCCCTTCACTGGACTGCACCGAAGGGCCCCGAGGGAAGAGGTCGGAGAGGGCGGCGTCGTCCAGCAAATTGAGAGCCAGAGCACAGGGGCCCCAATATTCCAGCGACGGCAGCCCCTCCAGACGCAGAGGGGGAGCCTGAGCGGCTCTGCTGTGGAGAAGTCACCAGCTCGTCAGAGGGGGAGCTGGGTCCCCAGTGCGGGCGGAGTGGGGGGATTCCCGGCACTGCCTGCTCCGCTGTGCCCCTCCGTGGGCAGGGGAAGGGGCGGCCCACCGGGCAGCTCGGGGTTCCTCAATCAGGAAGCCCAGGAGGGAGCTCAGCGCTTCCCAGAGAAGCCACGACGTGCCCACGGCGCCCCAGACTTGGCTCGCTGCCCGCGGCCGGCAGAGCCGAGACTCCAGGAGAAGGGCCGCATCCTTCCCGCGGAGGGCACGCGGTGTGTCGGCGGGATGCCACCCTCGCGGTGGCCCTCCCGGCACTGCAGCACGTGCGCCCCTCACCGCAGGCCGGGCGGCGGGAAGGGCCGGTCTCCACGTCCCCGCCCCGTTCCCCGGCGGCACGAATGTCTTCTCCGCCCCAAGGTCCTGGGAAACAACCCTGGGACTGCACGGGCAACGGAGGTCGCGGCTGCGCCGGGGGAGCGCAGGGCCGGCGGCCGGGGGAAGGAGCGGGCTCGGGCATCTCGCGAGAGCCGCGGCGCGGGGGTGGGGGCTGCAGGGAGCTCCCGCAGCGTCGGGGACCCTCCGGCGGCAATGTCTGGGGCCGCCCGAGGGCTGAGCAGCGCCGAGTTAGCCGGGCTGCCGCGTTAGGCGACAGCCGCCAAATCTGCGCTTTCCGAGCTTCTAGGGCAGAGGGAGGGGGGTTGGCCGGGTTGGGCAGTAGGGGAGGCTTTGGGGGAGGGTTGGCTGCAGGGCCTAGCCGGGGAGGGGTACTGTGACCACGAGCCTGTGCAAGTCGTTCTCATCGGTAGAAGCGGGAGCCTAGCTCGGCAGGCACACCCGAGCGTTTGGGAAGAGGGTGGTCCGATCCAGGCGGGCCTGAGGTCCGCAGCCCATCCCCAGGTTCCGCCCAAAGCTGCATCGCCAGGACGTGACAGGTGCAGTGGGGGGGGGGGTGCTCCACACGCCACACCTCTTTGTAAAATATAAAGTTTACTCCGGCTTAACCCTTTCCCTGTTCCAAGTTCTCTGGGGGTAACTCATAAATAGGAAGAGAAGAAACTCGGACCCGGATCAAACTAATCAGGCCTGTATGAGGTTTGTACCTCCTGGAGGGAGGGCACTGGCTTCCTGTACCCACGGTGGGGGGGGGGGGGTGGGGGGGTAGGGAGGAGGGAGCCCCACGGCCCTTAGCACCACTGCCACGCCTTCTGGGGACTCCCGCGTGGGATGAGAAACCACGCATCTCCTTCATTGTTGGTCGCCCTGCTGCCTGATTTTCTTTCTACACTCAAGAGCAGCTCCTGCCTCCGAAGTGAGGACCACCCCCCCACCACCAAGGTCCCCTGTCCAGAGAGGGCCCCAGCTAATCCAGGAAGCCTCTGTCCCCAAGGCCTCTCCAGGAGCCAGAGCCAGGCTGAGGAGGACCACAACTGCCTCACTGGCCTGTCCAGTTCAGCCAGGCCTGGTCTTGGAGCTGAAGGAAATGTCTCAAATACTACCTTCCCAGTTTAGGGAGTGGGGGAGCCTTACTCCTTCAGTGAGTGGGGCAGAAAGGTGACCAAAGAGACAGGGCCATCTGTGCAGTCAGCTTGGCTCTGGGCCAGCCTCCTTGCTGGCCCAGTCCCTGGGCCCTAGACACACAAAATGTAGTGAAAGGCAGGTCCTCCTCCTGTCTGTAGTAAGGCCCAGTGGGTCACCTCATGCCCTAGCTCTGCAGGGTCCTCTCCCTTGTATGACTTAAAAAGCCCCCCTCCTAATTCTTATACAATATTACTGAACCTCATCAAGTTTAAGACCTCTTCCCTTTTCTGAAATCTGAGTTCATACAACAGTTTGGGGGGGAGGTGTCCAGGGCACTGGGGGCCTTATGTCTGCAAGATGTGACTGTCCCCGCAGCAGGTGCACTGATCCCCTCCCCCCATGGAGAAAGCCAGGAAGCCTGCTGGAGGGGAGACCTTTCTTGAGGTGCAGGGAGACATGGGGTGGGTGGTAGGTGGGGGGAGCTGATCATCCTCCAGGCAGAGGCCAAGGGGCTCAGGATTTTGGCTGTGGGATGGCTTAGATTCTGAGGCAGCTCTGACCTCAGAGGAGTTTTAGGAATACCTCAAGCCATTGATTTCCCTAAGAGTTTCCTTTTTTTGTAAACTCACTGCAGATCTGTGGGGGGAAAGGGGGGGCAGCAGCAGAATCAAAGTGTGAGTAGGTCCGAAAGAGGTCTTTGAGTAAGTATAACATAAAAATTCTGGTGACATGAAAGCATTGAGTCATGACTATTGGCAGTGTCTTCACACGTTTTCTTTCTTAGTGCTTCTGGAAATATCAGTGTCTGACTTCGGTGGCATCATGGATCCTGATACTAACCAAGTACTTCCCTGGGCCACTGGTTCATTGAAGAAAGCAGTGACTGAGGGTGGCCGGCAGTTCCTAGCACTGTGACACAGGCCCTTCCCCTATGCTGATCCAGTGACAGCCCAGTAAGGTACATACCTTACTCCCGTCTCATAGATGAAGATAAAGCTCAGAGATGTTAGGCAGCTTGCCCAGGGACACACAGCTATTAGCAGCAGAATTTGGATCTGACTTCACCTGTATGGGTCTCCATTGCCCCTTACCCAGCAGCCTTGAGGTTCAGCTTGGGGTGTCCCAGATGCCTTAAGGTCCCCAACAGCCTCTGCCTACCGAGAATGAGTATGTCCACTTGTTCACTAAGTATTTATTAAATGCCTGTTGTGTGTGTGTGTGTGTG